ACACTTACACACTTATTATTTTGCATCATATGAGAAATTTTTTTCTTTAGACTTTTCAACAAAAGTATAATTGTGTATGGATTAAACATATCTATATCAAAAGTATCTCTTGCATTTTTTCAAAAAATATAAGACATAAATTTTCCGGATGCTTCAAAATAAGTTCCGTAAAATAAAGAAAAATAATAATTGTATTAATACACACTAATGCATTTTTTTATCGAACGACTAACTTAATTAAATGATACATGATAAATTCATTAATTAATTAAATTCTATAATTAATGAATTATATCATGAAGAAAATAATGATGCGAGATGAAAATTTAAGGTAAAATGCAAAAGAATGAAACTGAAGAGACTACTATAAATTAGAACGTCTCGAATAATACTTCTATATTTAATTGGATCTGATAATTCGCTATTTATTTCTTCGCAATCACATCTCCTCTCAATCACTTTTCAATATCTGAAGAGCGAATTTTTTATTCTGTGAATTTCAGCTGTAAATACCGCGTCACAGATAAAATTAAAGGTGCATTCGTTTACATACATATGTGAAGATGAACGTTCGACAAGCGACGCGATCGATAAAAAGAGAAAGAAGAAAGAAGTGAGAGAAAGAGAGATTTGAAATCTCGTGGGAAGAGAACTGGCACGATGTGGTGCGCTCTGGACGAATAACTTCCAGCTTTCGTGAAATTCCGTGCTCTCTCTCTCTCTCTCTCTCTCTCTCTCTCTCTCTCTCTCTCTCTAATTTAGTCGTTATATTTATCGCGGTGACAATAAAAAAGACGTGGGCTATGTGCAAGACACCGCTTCTGTCGCTCGCACATGCGGTCGTCGAATACTGCTCGTAGTTATCTTCGATTCACCTCGTTTTTCTGGCACTCGTTCAACTCACTCCGAAATCTCGCGACCTGCTCGTTCTGCTTGAACAGTCCATCGCGATTCCACTATCGTTTGACATTTCGAATGATAAGCGATTTGGAAAGTTCAGTTTCAAGATTTCTGCTGAAATCGATATACTACGTCGATTGAACTATATTAATTTATGCAATATACGAGATATTCCAATGTCATATTATCGTAACTTTTTTGGAAAAATAAATATTTTTTACAAATGCATATTCACGCGTTAAATGCGTCATTTTTGTTAGATTTAAAAGGTTGATAATCATTGGTAATTTCAATATTATGCAATATTGGCGTTTCGTAAGTCATATATTATTGGTTTTATTGAATTTATAACTTGCACTTTTCTAGTTGTACTTTTCAAATTCTTTCAAAAATTTTTCATTTATTTCCTTTTCAAACATTCATCAACTTTTTGTTGCATAATATGTGTAGAAAGTACAAAGTCTTTCTCGTAATTTTTGTATACTTTTTGTACATATTTGATAATTAATTTAGGTTACATTTTTGGTACTGTTATGTTCCTAAGATTGTAAACAAAAATACATTATTATATTTATATTTTAAATATAAATTAGAAAGAAGAGATCAGTAAAAATTAGCACTTTTTTAATAACAAAAATTCATGCTAGAATAATAATATACATATCTTCGAAATCTCTTAATGTTTTCGAAGTAACTAAGTTCAAATTTGCATTCATAATTGGTAAATTTTAAATGACAGATCCAAAATGGCGATTAAAATAATTTAAAATATTAAAGCATGTTAATTTTTGATATTAATGAAATATAAATTCTCTTAATATTTTTTATTTTTTGCATTCTTAATTTTTTAATTAATATAATTCTTACGTATAAAAAAATTTTACACATAAATAAGCCATAATTAATTTTTTCAATTTAGCTGCCATATTGAATCCGTCATTTTAATTTCTTAAATTTTGACTTAAGATTTATAATCCACGCGCGACCCCCCAAAAATTTCCATATAAAATTCAGCAAAATACGTTCATTGGAAAAATTTGCACAACAAAAGATTAAATGAGAAAATAAGAGAAGGCAATAAAATTCATATTGAATAAGACAAATAAAATAGAAATCGACTAACAAGAATTATCGTATATCGTAATCGTTTATTGAATCGTCTAATGTTACGATATGTGTCTGCTACTATCATATAATATTATTAAAAGATAAAGATAATAAAATAACATAATTGTTTTATTCGACAGACTTGTAAATAATATTATCAATTATTATTACCTTGATGAAGAAGAATGAAGCATCGTCCGACCCTTCATTTTCACGAAATCTGGAACATAATGCTAGAACATATACAAACACATGATAAATATAACGCGTGTATTCAAGTTAAAGATACAAATTACATAATCGGATTCTAACAATTAAATATTTAAGAATTATATATTTTGTAAAATAAAAAAAAAACAAAAAGATTTCTAACATACTCATTTGTTAATTGACACTCTTAATTTATAATTAAATTACAAATACATTTATCTTAGTAAAATAAGGCAAAAAGATAAGAAAGAAGAACGGAATTGAATTGAGCTGCTCATCTTCTTGCATTTATATCCATATCAATCAATTTATCTAAAAAATAAATAAACAATAAGAATACCGCATAAAAATAAAAGCTAATAAGAAAATTAAATTATATTGATCTTATTATGGCGATATTGAAATATCGCATAGTATTTATAGAAGCGTTCTAAAAAGACATATCAATGTCATGCATTATACTTAAGTGGAAAATAGTATAGAGTTATATATATAATACAATACAAACGGATGTGAAATTAAAACTACGTTATGAACTGTATACGAGCTGGTTTTATGATATCGATCCGATATAATGTTCCGCTTAAATGAGCCTTTAGATAGCAGCCTTTATAAACGTGACTGTATCAGTCCAGTAATACGCATTAATACGGCTTATGAATGAACCTGATTATGTCATATTGCATACACGACCCTCAAAATAACTCATCGGAAAAAAAATTCGTATCGAAATATTTTTAATATCCTTTAATATCCATAATATCTTGTATTAATTTCGCCAACTGTTCATTAACTATTATCATGGAAAAGAGAAAATAAAATATACGAATGGTTCCGAAATCGTTTTATCGCGTATATTATACATGCTCCAATTTTTTTAAGTGATATAATTAATTATATTAATTATTTTTCGTTTATCTCTCGACACATCGAGTAAAATAAAATATTTTAATGAAACTTTTTTATTATCTCTGTCTGTAAAATATATCTCTTATAATTCATTACGTGTATTATAATCATAACTGAAATCTCTTTTAAATATCTGTTATTTTTATAGATATATAATAAAATTGCTTCCTGTGAGATATTTTTTCACACGTTATAATGTAATTTTATTAGAATTTTATTAAAATTTAATTTTTTTATATTCTTCTAGAAAAAGAAAATTTATAAAATATTTTTCTATTTTATACAATCTATGATTCATTTTTAAAAATAATGTTTAGCTTTGATTACCTTTCACTTATTTTATCATGTATTAATACAAGGTAATCTTGCTGAAATGTTCTCTTATTTATTTTCTTTTAGACAACATTTCTACAAACATGTTTGTAAAAAATAAGAAAAACATTAAGTTTCTAATATATATTTATGCTTATATATATAAACTTTCCAAATAATTAATTAATATGAGATGAAAATAAGTTCTGTGCATCACAGAACTGCGATATTAAGCAAAAAATTGTGTTTACTAAAATCTTTGAATGCGAATCAATTGAAATGGAAAGTAGATTGGTTCAACCTTGTTTTGCATCTCCTTATAGTAACTTGACCCAGACCGTGACTTTATTCAGATAACTTTGTTTTAACTAAAATAGATACTTATCTTACTATTAATAATATAATACATTCAAACATATTCAGCAGAAAAACAAATAGAAAAACAAAAAATTGTATAAAGAATATAATACAATTTTCGTTTAAAAGAAAAATTCATCCAAATTTGGCAGACAATCCACAGATTAAAGACGGGAATGTTCTAAATAAATATACAAAGGAAGGAGAAAATGCAAAGAGCGATTCTCTCTCAGATCGTTTTCCGTCGCTTTCTGCTAAACGCGGTTTAATTACGAGCGCACGATATACATAGTAACAAGACGATAAACGTACCATTGCGTGCTGATCGAGACGGCGCCGTGGCGACCGGAAATTTGGGTTCTTTCATTCGTAGGTGCATGCCTCGCTCGAGCGCTTTTGACGAACGGGTGCACCGTCTATTTCTGTGTTTCTCGGAGAAGATGCTATAGTTGTTATCGCATCGCGCATGGCGTTGGTACTGTTGGTCGTCAGTGAATAATGCATCGGATCGTCATGTGTGAGGCGTGTGTGCTCTCGTATACATAAGGTAGGAAGCAATAGGTAGATGTTCGATATAATGTGCCTCTACACAAAGCGTACGTGTGGTGTGTGTGTGTATGTGTGTGTGTGTGTGTGTGTGTGTGTGTGTGTATGTGTGTGTTTGTGTGTTATACTCCATGCGGTAATATTACCGCGGTGTCCCTGAATATCGATTTACTGGCATATCAGTAAATGTATGCACCGTTCTCTTTTTTACAATCCGACTGCATTCTTATAATCGCCTTAATCATTTCCTCGATGAGCATTATGCATAGTGATCAGCGAACATGATGCGATTTATTAAAAGTGTTCTTTGAAACATGATATTTATACACTGAGAAAAAAGTTGTTAACTTGACTAAGTGCACTTAGTTCGTAACTTACTTGATTACTTGGTCCGAGTAATTATATATTTAGGTTAAATATATATACGCGAGTCATATCAACAAAATCTTGTAATTTAAAAAACATGTTATTTGTATTAATTAAATTAAGAAATATTCGCTTGATAGCCCGTGACCGCAGTGTTTAGAATCAACTAATAGTTTTTAAATCAGCAACTTTCTTTTCAGTATACGAATTGAAAAAACTAGGCTGAGTAAATAGATGAGTTATGCAAAATATTCCGAACTATATTGAATATTGTTAAATATGTGAAACAAGATCATTTACTTTATTGTTCCGCAAAATCATAAACACGTATCTCATAATTGCCACAATTATTTTCTCGCTTGACATTAAATCGCATCGAAAACTTGATAACTCTAGACTGAAGAAATGATTGGTTGCTATTGGTTGCAGCAATTTAAATGGCATTTTTAATTGGCTGCAGCCGCGTTAGTCTATCGAAATTGTAAGTATTGTATATTGACATTGCGGATAGGCTAACGCAATCAAAAATTCGCTGCTGCAGTTAATTAATAAAAACGCTATGCCATATTTTATCATTATACGATTTTATCATGTAAATTGCTGCGGCAGCCAATTTTTTCATTATACGATTTGGAGATGTTGAAAGTTTTTCGGGTAATTCTTGCGGTTCATCAAAAATTTTTAACTTTCACCTTTCGCGACTTCCATTAAAAAACCTCACTTTTCGCTAATCCCACTCGCAATCATGAAACTCCAAGAGAACTTGCGTAACATCATGTATCAGATTTAGCCAACGTTTATATAGATGTTTATATAGTGAGTGATTCACTCGAGTTACTCAAACGCAATGCTACTGAGATCTGTACATTCACGTTATTGAAACGTCTTCATATCTGCATGAGATTTCAGGCAAACTCGAATGTCTGATCATTGTCGAATGCGATAACGCGTTATCGCATTCGACAATGATCAGACATATACGATACGTTGTTTATATATTCTTAGTAAAATTATCGTAAACACTTAGCAAAATTACTGCTATAATAAGAGTAAAATAAATTTTAACGAGACATATTGCATGCAAAATTAGTTAAAACTTACTCCACTTCTTGTGTGCTAAAAAAAGATTGATAAACATTGCCGAGTAAAACATTTATTGAAAACAAAAAATATATTAATTTTAATAAATAATTATTTAAGTAATGCTAGTTGAATATGCAAAAAAATGTAAACCTATTAATTTATTTGATACAAGAATCATTAATTTGATTTAATTATATTATTTTTACTTAGCAAATATTTATTTTTTGTTAATATATACGTATATTGTAACATTTATTCATTTATATAATTTATATATAATGAATAAATGTAATAAATGTTATATATTTTGTAATATTCATGAGCACTATTCAAATAATAATTTATTAAAATACATTTTCTCTCAGTGTAATATTAAAAAAAAATTCTTTTTTTTAAACAGCTTTTTTTAAACATCTCAATACCATCAATTCTATCTCATAGATGATGAAATTATTCACACGGCGGAATTATCTCTTTTCTTCTCCCGATGTCTAAAGAAATCGTTCGCATCCTTAAAAAAATGCGGACAAGGATACGAATGTCCAACAATGCTGACACTTGTACGTGCATTAGACTCGTCGTCGAGCATTTTACCAACGTTTACTGCATCGGAGACGTAACATTGTGAAAAATCGTTACACGTTTCGGTACAAGATGCTGCCGATGTATCGTGCTGCGTATGCGCGCGCATATGTAGGTATACCAGGTAAACCAGATTGCACTCTCACGATATTCACATCGAAAATACATAATATCTGCTTTCAACGAAAACACTATGTTCTATCTAATGCATTTCTCAACTGCGGATTACACCTTGAGATTTTCCTCACCTCTTCGAAACGAAAGAATTGCAGAGTTGAGCGATATCTCACCCGACGATCATCGCTCTTTTCTCTCGCGGATTATTTATCCTTGCCTAGAGGGAGGGTATATATCTGTATATAAAAATCATTATCACACGTTACGCCCATCCGTCACGCTAACCAAAAGTCTGGGCTTAATGGCATTCTTGACATTTATTTCTTTGCGACACGGTTCATTTATCGTGATTCACATTGGATTGTCGGATAACAATCAAAATTTAATTTTCTCATCATATGTGACATTACATAACAGTTATATAACAATTATTTATAAAGTTATAATGTTTTATTGGTCCTACACATTTCTGAATAAGTTTGGCTGAAAATATTTAGTTTACGTAGTCTTAAAAATTATAGTACTCAAAGATTGAAGTTAAATATCTTCAGGACATATTCTTTTCATAGAAATGATCATTGTTAACAATAAAATGTTCCTAAGTTAATATAATATCAATTATAATTAGTTCCTCAACAAAGAAGAATCTATAAATAAAAATCTAAAAGATATCTTGTTAGATATCTTGAAGTTAAGTCAGAATTTCATAAAACATTCCAAAGAAGTATTAAGTAATTCTCTCAAACAAGTAGTCGAAGTAATCGACTGTAGTAAATCGAAATAATCGCAATTGAAAAGTACTGACCTTAATGATATAGAATTTAATGATAACAACTATATAGGTGATATTACAAACTTAATATTGTGTAAAATTACTGCATATAAAGATGAAAAAAAAACTGTTATAAT